AAAAAAAAAAAAAAAAAAAAATGCAGAGTCTAGTTTGGACACATATAACATAATCACAGCACCATTTGTCCCCCAGCAAGAGTACCAGGAAAAGAAACAATATATTGGAATCTTTGAATGACAAACGCTGAAGTACTAATATATACATAGTATGAATAGAAAAAATAAAAGAGTATTCAACAAACTGTCAACTGTGATTTTCACAGGCAGATGTCAGAGGACTCTGCTTGCTATGTTACACACACCTAGGCTGCTCACAGGAGCACATATTCTATTTCTAATCAGGAAAAAAATACAAGTTTCAGTATCCCCACATTGTGAGTTTAAGCCTGCCCATCAATAATTCAAGAGCTCTTAGCCATGACAGCAACAGTTTCAGTTCTTAAAAATTTTACGTGGTTCATTAGGGAGTGGGGGCATGGGACTGAGACAAGAGAAATAAAACAAACTTATTTTAAAAAATATACTCTCTTTGTTCAGCAATTCATGAACCAAAACACTATGGAAATAAATTTGAAAACGTTCTAACTAAGAAACTTTAAAAAGCATTAATGCAAGAAAAAGCAGGCTATTGTTAATGAATTACCCCTGAGAATATCCCTTCAAGATTAAGTTCATCAAGCTACATATCCAAATGATTTTCATTTCTGCTGAGCAATAAAAAATTGGATCAAGGGGTAACTCATATTGCAGGCTCACTGATCATCGTTAGAGAGCACCCCACTGAAAATCCGATAGCTATACTTGGTGTCAGGACATCTGGAACACGACCCCAAAGAACACACAGATACTGTTTCTCTCCTGCTCATTTTATCCCTGTAAGGTAAAATTCCTCACTAACCCAGGGAGTATCTAATTTATTTTGTTTTAGGAGAATCTTGCTAAAAGGAGGCTATGCCAGATACAAAAGCCTGAACATTGCCACTGATAGAACATTCAGAAAAGCCAAACTATACAAAAGACAAATCAGATAGTGGCTAGAAGAGGCTGGGGTGGGCGGGGGAATTAGTGACTGCCGAAGGTACGTGGTAACCTTGTGGTAGTAGAATTATTCCTGAGTTGGTGGAACTTAAATGTGACCTTTTTCAAAATATAGAACCATATACCTGAAAGGTGAATTTTCTGTATGTCAATTATGTCTCCATATACCTGACTTTTGCTTTTTTTTCCCATAGGCACAAGCTATGACTAAGCAATTTACAAAAGAGTACATGAAGGTGGCATATGACAAAAAGGGCACAATTATCCTTACAATAACAATACATAGGTATGGAAAAGTCCATATCTTCATATAAATCATTAAATGTTAACACTCATCATTAGTGTTACTAATTGCTAATCATCAAAATGTTAGCAGCAATAATCTCTAGTATAACTCTAGATAGTTTTTATTTACCTTTATGAGCTTTCCTGAAATTTCAAATTTTTCTACAATTAACACATTTTAACTTTCTAATTAGGAAAAAGATAGGGCAGTAGTGTGGGGGGTGGGGTAATAGAAGTCAGATGCTAAGTCTTCAGGAGCTGAGCTACAAAATAACAAAGAAACCCTGAATTTGAAGAGGAAGAGAGTAAGGAGGCAGGAGCCTACACACACTTTCAGGCCAACCTTTGATCTTCCATACTCCAGAATGTTTGGTTTAGGAATTGTTTGCGATATGCAGTTAATTTAGGATTTTGGGATAGGAAAGATAACAAAAAAGTGAAAGAGTTAAATGAACGGCTACTTTACGGGAGCAGGAGGGAGCACATTCTATGAGGCTGCCATTCTACAGCACAAATGTTACCTGTATTTTTCTGTAGAAGAACCAAAGAAACCATTATGTATAGCTGAGCAGAACATAGTATCTTAGACCATAAACTAGATTTGGTTATTGTGGAGAACATACTTTTCAGCAACACTTATAACAAATTTAGTCTGTTTCCCTCTACCCAAAAAGCAGGGAAATACACAAGAGAATCGGCATCCTGCAAAACTTGAATTTGTATGCACCGATGTTTTAAATTCTCATTTTTATGAAATTATCTAAAGTATTTCCACATTAGGCTCTCTGACTTCAAATTATCCAATAAATTGTTTAGTAACATTTACACCATTTTAAAGGATTTCTAAATTACACGTTAGATTCCATTGTACCAGCATGAAGATTGACTCCAAGCCACCACGAGACCCCCGTCTTTGCTTAGGCTCATGGTCCAAATTATTCGGCATAGTTCAGTGTCACAGGTGAAGCCCCTCATCTTAGGAAATCCCAAAAGCTATTTTATAAATAAATTCTTGAATAGGTGACCTACCTGCCACAAAGGGGCATTAAGCTGATGAATCACCACATTCAACTGATGATTTCTTGCAAATGCTACAATGGCATCATTGCCAGCAAAAGTACCAGGCTTTGCCAAACTGGCCACTGCACAAAAACAAGAGAAAAATAATGTATTTATAACGAAAAAAAAAAAAAAAACCTAAAGATAAAGCATGCTTTAGTGTTTACTTGGTTCCAAACAAAGAGAAACAAGAATATCTATCTGTAAAGTCCATTGAGTCATTTAGGAATTTAGCTGGTTAAACAATATGCAGATTGCTACTCAGATGACCACTAAACATTAAAGAAGGATCCATTTATTCTTTCAATAAATATTTACTGAACACTGCCCATCTGCCTAACTGAATAAAAGTCACTGAACATACACCAATAAACACAGTAACCATAATAGTTCACCCTTATGAAAGCTTATTATGCATGTGTTAAGCATGGTTCTAATAATTTCTGATAGATTATCACTTCTAGTCCTCAAAATAACCCCAAGGTATTATTATGCACGCCACCTGACAGATGAGGAAACTGAACCACAGGATAATTAGTAACTACCCAAGGCCACAGAGCCTACACACAGCAGGCGAAGATTTCACCCAGGCAGCCAGACTCCAATGCCCTGGCTCTTGGCCTCTCCAACTGCCCTCAAACAGTTCATAACTAGCAAGGGCAAACAACCAGAAGATGGGCACTAATGATGCGTAAGTGCTTCAGGAAAGGGATGTGGAGTAAGGAATATGGCCTCGTCCAAAGAAAGGTCTGGCCTTTTTCCCAGGCTTCTTCAAGGTAACCTCTAAACCTCTGCAATTTCCAAAGGAGAGAAGAACATCTCTGTATTGGTGATGGACCAGGTCTCTAGGCCATACCTTAGAGCAACCATGTACCAATTAGACAATCAATCAACAAGGAAAAAAACAACAAACCAAAACTCTGAGATGAACTCTGACACTGAAGTTAGGGTAAGCTTGCCTGGTTAACAATACTGAGTATGAAACCAATAAATAAATAAATAAATAAAATCTTTGGGGCTGGGGATTTAGCTCAGCAGCACAGCGCCTGCCTGGCAAGTGCAAGGTCGTGAGTTCGATTCCTGGTACTGGAAAAAAAACAAAAACCAAAAAATAAATAAACAAACAATACTGAGTATGCAAGTGCACAGGTGTGCCAAGGAATAACGCTTTCCAAAGACAATGCAAGCTTTGTACTTGGAACCTTCCCAAACCACCCTCTGCGTCAAGAGGCAAAGAGGGCGATCCACATAGCATGGAGAATATTGAGGAAAACAGAAAACGAAGCCTGCTCTTATGAGGTGGTAGCAGTGAAAGGCAAACAGATTGTGTCTTGGACTGGGACCTACTCACCATCCTCAGTAGCGGCCTTGGTGGAGACCCTCCTTTTTTCTCAGCTGGCCAAAATGAAGACCTCCTAACTAGAGTTAGGGATCAAAACACAGAAACAAATCTGTCTCTCTCTAAGTAATGATGATGGGAGAGAACATAAATTTATCACCCTAGCATGGGAGGGCCTCAGTGAGTATGTGTTCAAAGTTTAAAAGCTCATACATGTTTTTTAATAGATTTCTACCTCCAAAGTAGAAACTAATTAAAATTATTAACTAAATGATTCAAGGAAAATTGGTTGTGATTGGGTTTGGGGTGACTTTATTAATTTCTCTGATTATAAAAGTAATCCATGATCATTTTTCTATAATAAAAAATCTACAGAGGATAATTTAAAAGACTCATAGGCCCCTTATCCTTAACTTATTAAAGGCTTACTTTAATTTTGTCATCTAATCTTCACCAAAAAAATTCTATGAGGTAGATGCTTTTAATGTCTCCTTATCACAGAATTTAAAGACAGTAAGTTCTAAAAAGTAAGAGTAGCTGAGAAATAACCATAAAATGTTGGGGTATGGATCCACTATTCTATAGTCTGTTTTTCTCACTCCACTGATAAAAATAAACAGCTTTTCAGGTCAATTAATGCCCCTTTTTTGGTAGTGCTAAGAATCAAACCCAGGGCATCATGCATGCTAGCACCACCACAGAGCTACACCCTCAGGCCTCAAAACCATTCATTTTATTAAGAGTATATACATCTAAATCTACTGCTTTCCAAATACCTACTACAGAGTAGGCAATAAGTTATCTGTTGAATAAATGAACAGCACAGTTTATATAGTCAAACCCCCACCAGAGAGGATGAGGGTGCCAATGGACTTAATTACCCAATGCATTACTCCTGAAGGATCCAGTGTCCCACGGTGAACCTACCATGCTTCTCAAAAGGAACATCATCTTCTACAAAGGGTTCAAAATCTTCCCGCTGCTTTATCATGTAGTCCACTGTCTCCTGTCTGTGCTTCAGATGATTTCGCGAGTGCCCTTCCAGTTGATCACCAAGAGCTCTGAACAGGCAATTGCTGTCAAAACAAAAATGATGGTCAAGACCTTTCAAGACTGAGTTTAGTTCATCTAAAAAACAACGGTGCTCCATGCCAATCGACCCATGAAAAATCTTTTATGCTCAGAAGAGGTAAAGTCTCAACTCTAACATGCCAGGATTCTTCCCAAAGGTTGTGGGGAGAGGCTAGGATAGACACTCACATTACTTTCTTGAAAGGCAACAAAACAAGGATTCTCGTCCCCACTTACCTGCTCACTGGCTCAGGAAAATCATTAAATTTCTCTGAACTTCAACAAGTGAAGTTGGTAACAGACTACCTAAATACAGGATGCAGACCTTATAAGCCATGCCAGGCTAAGAACTGTGATTCTCAGATTCCTTTCCAAAATGTCATATCTACCACCTCTTTTCTGAAACAAGCTTCACTATAGCTGCTCAGCTCGGGAATTACTCATTTAACAAAGGGTACCCAGAAGATAGCAATTTGTCAGGCTTCCACTACAGACTGAACAGTAATTGCATGGAAGACAAATGGTTATACTGCAGAAAGACACTTTCCCCACCTCCTCACTTATCACCCAGGGAGCAACAATGTACTGTTACTCCTGCAAAGGAAAACTTTAAACACCATATTTTGTTTTTCTAAAATTCAAATACTAGTAGTAAACACTAGTGAGTTATTTTTATTTTCGAATTTCTCAAAGGCTCCTAAAATTCCAAACTATATATCACAAACACAGAGAATCAGATACATGGAGACCGAAAAAAGACAAACACAATCTGGTCTCCTTACAGTGAAGGAAACAAACCATTCTGAAGCCAAACATTTACCTAGTTTTACACCGAACTGTTAACTCTTCCAAATGAAAAACAGTGATACTCTAATTCCAAAATACAAATTCATCACTTTCAGAAGAATTTCAGACTTAAATGTGTAGGGGAGAAATATCTTCTTTTCAACTCAGAAAAAAATAAGTTTTTAATAGAAAGTTACGGAGCAGCAAGAATCACTTCTAATATATAAGAATGTATACTTTGGTGAGGAAGGCAGGAGGAAGGGAGAATTTAAATAAGGGAGAGTCTATAAATTAGAAACCACAAAGCCTTGCATCCGTCTGGGACAAGGCTCTAGAAGGAATCAGAATATACAGTTCTATACACTAGACTGAGCTGTCATCTATGGCTAAAATCTAACAATAGCGATCTTTTTTCAACCACGGGGGGAAAGAGCACTAATAGCTAAAACATTTTCAATATCAAGTCTTTCAAACTTTTCTTAAACCTTTAGCATCTGTCACAAGTCAGGAATGGACATTCCTGAATCTAGTTTAAGACGTATAATTGAGCAGAAAATTATGTATGTAGTTATCTTATGTTTACTGTCCCAAAATTCATAGTATTCTGCAGAGAGTAACATTCTTGTTAAGAACTTTTAGTACCACGGGCAGATGTTCTCCATATAAGCTCAAAAAGTACATATAAACTATCTACTGCATGAGCTCAATCATGATCATCTGTATATACACAGTGAGAAACATCTGTACATGCACAGTGAGAAACACAGAAATGCACACAAAGAAAAAACACTGAAACAACCACCACATCTTACAATATGCCAAGGACTGCTGTGACCACTTTATTAAATGCACTTAGTCCTCACAACTCTATGAGGCAGTTACTATTATTATTTCCCAAGGGCAATCCACCCAAAGTCACAAAACTAGTAAGTAGAGGGCCAAGGATTCAAAGCCAGGCAGTCTGGCTCTAGCCCACACTATTGCTCAAATATGAACACCGAAGTATCAGCCATCGTCGTCCATAGGTAATAGGAGCAATTGTTAAATTTATTTTATTATACTTTGCACTTACCAAACTTTCTCTGAACCCACTAAAAGCAAATCAGGAGAGGCCAAAATCACTTGTTTTTCTGTTACAGTTACAAGGTAGTGACATAGGAAACACGACAAATACTGCAGTAACCTGCTTCCCTTAGGGAGCCCAGCAAGAGCACCTGAAATGCTGGGAGAACAAAGCACAATTGCCCTAAGGACTTCAAGGAGACCCAGCTGTTTCCCAAGTCCACGCTCTCATTACTCCGCCATAGCAGGGCTTCTCCACCTCCGCACTACAGTGGGGATTATTCGTTGTTGTGAGCGCCGCTGCCTTGTATGCCGTAGGATATTTAGAAGCACATCACCCACCTTCCTCCCCACCAGGTATGACAACCAAAAATGTCTCCAGACATTGCTGAATATCCCCTGGGAGGCAAAATCATCCCTGTGAGAGGCCCTGTGTTTTAGGGATATAGGTAAGGTCTTGCATTTGAGTTCATAAACACCACCAGTTACACAATATTACAGGTACCACCTTGCCAACAGTGAACACGCCGCCCACACCAAGATGCTCTATCAGGCTACTCAAATTGTAATCAGACCAAAATGGCAAGAGAGAAAAAAGATTGTGAACTTTTAAAAACAGTACTATAATTTCATATTTTACTCTGAATACTCAATGAATATTAATACATTAAAAAAAATCTGTTGACACTTCCAAACCTATCACACACAGGAAACACTATCCTCTGCACTGACAAAGACTAACATCACCATATTCAAAGAGGGCTGAACCAGTCCATCTCACGGTACCCAAGTGAACAATGTGTGAGCAGAAGGGGGTTAGCGCCACGAAATCCACACAAGAAATACCTCGATCACTATAACACTATCCAAAGAACAGGGAGCTCAGAAGTGGGACACAAAAGCATTCCAGTTGAGCTGCCTCTACCTCGTACTTCTACCTTTGGATTCTATACTCCTGCCATCCTACGGAACTTGTTCAAAAGTAATGTGCTCCTGGGCCACCATTTATGCTACTCAACCTTCAGTGTCCTCTTAGCTATGCCTACTGACCTTCATGACCCAATCACAAATCCTACCTCTAAGAGGTATTTAGCAGTGTATTGAATAAGTGTTTGTTGAATGAATGGGAAGGCCCTCCTAACCACTTCAGACTAGAGTGTCAGCCACTACCTTCTTAATAGTGCTACTGGAGTCAGGCCCTTATGAAGGCTATTTCACACTGTACTTTTTAGTACATCTGTTCCCAAAGTGTGGCCCAGAGGATTAAGGAGATAGGAAGGTCTTCTGAGACCCTTCCAGGGGTACCATGAGTGTAAAACAAGACGTTGTTTACCTTCTTCATTCTCATTATCTCAAAAACATATCATGGAGTTTTCTACAGGATACTTGATACGTGATGGATGGTTAATGGAACTGTGTTTGCATGCTCCTGTGTTTTAAAAATGTGCTTTACTGTGGGCATGGTGGCACACACCTATCATCCCAGCACTCTGGTAGGCTGAGGCAGGAGGATTACAAGCTCAAGCCTTGACCGGGGAACTTAGCAATTTTGTGAGTCTGTCTCAAAACATTTTTTAAAAGGCTTGGGATATCACTGGGTGCAAAAGCTTGAGTTACATTTCCAGTACCATAAAAAATAGTAACTAATAAAAAATAAGTGTTTTACTTTTTAATACAGTAAATATGAAAGCTATAACCCAAATAAACAAGGAAGCCTAGCATTCCTCAGTAATTTTTAAGAATACAAAAGCGTCCTTAGATCAAAATATTTAGGACCAAATGTTAAGCTTCTCCCTTAGTAGATTATGAACTCCTTACATATCTTAGCCAAGCACCTTGCTTAACAATATGTGATCGGCCTGGGGATTTAGCTCAGCCGCAAAGGCGCCTGCCTGGCAAGCGCAAGGTCGTGAGTTCGGTTCCCGGTACCGGAGAAAAACCAAAAAATAAAAAATAAAAAATAAAAAAATAATAAAAAAAAAAAAACAATATGTGATCAACTAACTGGAGAAGTACGCTGTCCTGGAAGAAGAGGGCAGGAGCAGTAGTACCCCCATAAGCACAGGAAAGCCGCCTAAAGATTCTACAATTCCAGATACTCTGATGCATGCTCATGAGCAGCCTTCTGCTGAGCACTTGTTTCCTGGCACCCTGTCAGGGAAAACAGGCTGCCCAGCACGACACCAAACAATCTAGTCATTCGCAAAGAACGATCCCACCCCAATTCCACTGTACTCAACTGGTATTACATTTTATACAGCAGGGTCTTGTGCTTATACATGATACCTTTATCATTCTTCATTCAGCAAAAATGTACTGAATGCCTTCTAGGTACCAGGCACTGTGCTGGATGGTGGTGAATAAATGCAACCAAGCTCTAATGGAAACTTAAAAATACCAAGGCAAGAGGGCGTGACAAACTCAGGAGAGAAATCCGATTTGCCTAAAGCACTGAAAGAAAGCTGGGAAAAGTTAGGGTCAATTTATTACAGTCTGGATCAATTTGCTGCAATGTAATGTAAAATTAAGACTATCTTTTCCTCAGTGTATACCTATGGTGAGTCTGTATGGTTTTTAGTTTCATCTTATTCTTTCCTCTAACTAACCTGAACCCCATCCCCTCAACCAAGAGAGATAAAAACAGAGGCAAGCCATCATTAATTTTTGTTGTTGTTGTTGAGATAGAGTCTCGCTCTGCAGTTCAGGCTGGCCTTGAGCTCACTTTGTAGCCCAGGCTGGTCTCGAACTCGCAACGATCCTCCTGCCTCAGCCTCCCGAGTGCTGGGATTACAAGCGTGCACCGCCACGCCCAGCAACCATTATTAATTCTAGCTCTTGCTAGAATTATTAATTCTAGCTCTTGCAGAGGCACACTTGGCAATCTGACTGCCTTTTACCTGCCCTGCAACAAGAGTGCTGTTTTTCTCTTCTTCTCCTGTACCCTTTTCTTTCCCCACCCATCCTCCTCGATCCAGATCTCCTTTCCTAAAGTTACTTTTCCTTCCCTTTCAGCCTCCATTCATTTATCCGGTGTTCGCTAACAAAGTGGAACTTGGATTCCAGTGCGAGCCCCCATGCAAGCGTGGGTAAGCACTTCTGCTTAGAGAAACTAAAGCCCATGGAAGTAAAAATAAGGCAAATTGCCTTTAGCTCGGTAAGCAGCAGAACCTCACAAACCTCATTTCCCAAATGCAGAAGGGGGTCACCCAAGAGGAAGGATCTAAGGGAATCCTGCGCCTCTATCTGTCTTATCCTCATTATGACCGCTCCATCTCATTCTGTCAAGTTTCGGCTTAAATGTCACCTCAGAGAAGCGTTCTGCTCCAGGGTTCTATCTCAGGACCCATTTCTACTTCCCTCGCGGCGACCGCCACCACCGGGAGCCTCTGGGGTCGCTGTGCCTCGGGGCCGGGGGCGCCTTGCTGCCGCCGGACCCCACCGCAGCGCGGCGGCTGGCTCGCGGGAGGCGCTCGGGCTGCCCGAAGGAAGGGACGGACGGAGCGGGCGACGGAGGCCAAGCGATGCCCGGCGCGGTCCCCCGGCGCCGCCTCCCGCGCTCCCGGCCCGCCTCACCCGTCCCCCGGCACCTCCCGCAGCTTCAGCCCCAGGGCCTGCAGCTGGTTAGCGAAGCTGACGAACTCCTCCTCGCAGCCGCCGCCGCCGCCGGGCTCCGGCCGGTTCCGCCGCTCCTTGGCCAGGGCCCGGCGCGCCGCCCGCTCATCCCGCTTGCGCTCCGCCTCGGCTTTCCGGCTGCCGCTGCCGGGCCGGCTCCTCGCTACCTGCTTTCGGGACATGATTTTGGCCCACAGCCCGGAGCGGCAGGAGGAAAAGCCGCAGGACCGCGGGGTGGCGACCTCGGTTGCCGAGGAGGCGAACCAGCTGTGGCGAGGGAGCCCGGCGACAGCGATAAGACCACTGCGCCTGCGCGCGCACCAGGTATCGCGTCACGTGACGGAGTCCCCCCGCGTGTCCCCCCCTCCCCCTAGCCCACCGCTCCAGGCTCCGCCGGCAAGAGCCATAGAGAGAGCGCTTACGAGGGCTAGATAGGCACCCATCCTGGTCTGTTCTACTCTTCCCCCTAGCGGTAGAAACGACTCAGTGTGGAGCAGGAGAGACCAGGGTGAATAAAACTGGAAAAGGTCAGGGACACACAGAATATTCCCAGTAGTACAAGAGTGGGAGAGAAGAGGAGTAACAAGAGTTAGGGAAAGAAGGAAACAAAAGAAGAAGTGAGCTTGCGGTCGGGATAGGCCCTTTCACATGATTCATCCGTGTGGAATTATCGCCAAATGACAGGAAACTGAATTTGAGAGATCAAATAATTGCAAAATCATAGAGCCAAGTAAAAGGCCGGCCATGGCCCTGCCTCCGAAACCCAGACACTTGTTTACTTAACCCTGCTATTCTCCATCTCTCCGCTTTCCCTTATACTCCAAAAGAAAGGCAACTCTTCTGCCCGAGAGTGATGGTACCTCCAGTAAGCTGGATTCCATTCTAGTGTGACAAACCTGGGTTTGCGTGGACTGAGAGTTTTCCTGGGATGCAGGACTTTTGGTTCTAAAATTAAGACAGTCCTGGAAAACCAAGATAAATGGTCCCTCTAAACCACACTCACCCGTTCTGGGACCTATGTCTCTCAGTAATACCCTCTTCTCTCTCATCCCCACTCCTCTTTCTTTTGTTTTCGGTTTTTGTTTTTGTTTTTTTTTTTTTTTTTTTTTTTTTTTTTTTTTTGGATCAGGAATCGAACTTAGGACCTTGTACTTGCCAGGCAGGTGCTTGTGCCACTGAGCTATATCTCTGGCCCCAGTGACTTTCTTTCTTAGCCCTTTCTATTCCCAAAATAATGCCACTGCCCTCTCTTTTGGATGTTCTAACCAAACTCTTTTACTATCCACAGGAATGTTCCTAATGTTTCTCCCTTTCATAGTCCTATTTTCTCATTGTCTTAGGTACTTTTCTTGTTACTAAGACAAACTGTCCGACCCCTAAATGAAAGAAAAAAAAGGTTTATTATTTTGCTCACAGTTTGTAGAGATTTCAGTTCATAGTTACCTGGCTCCAAGGCAGAGCAGCATAGCAGAGAGGCATGGCAGAGGAGAAATAGTCCATGGCATGGTAGACAAGAAGCAGCAAACAGAGGCTGGGGATTTAGCGTAGCGGCACAGAGCCTGCCTGGCAAGCACAAGGTCGTGAGTTCAATTCCTGGTACTGGAGAAAAACCAAAAATAAAAAGAAAAATTAAAAAAGAAAAAAGAAAAAGAAAAAGCAGCAAACAGTGAGCCTTTCTTTCCCTTTTATTCCATCCAGGCTAGAAGCCTATTGGTGCTACCCACACCCAGGGTATGCCTTCCCATTATCCACACCCAGAACTATGCTCAACTAATAAGTGGAATAATTTAGTTTTCACACACCTTTAATCCAAATTCACATACCCTAGATCCAGCCACCACTGAAAAGCCTGACCTATGAGCACATGAGGCTTTGGGGAGACATCTAGATACAAGCCTTAACTCATCTATCGTGTTTCCCTTTGGCAGTAGCTTCTTCCATTTCAAATAGCATCTCTATTTTTACTCATCAATATGTAAATAATTTTAATTCCTGTGCTTGTGCCAGGTATAGCAAGGAATTAGAGACATGAAGCTGCTTTCAGGAAGCAAAGACAGTAATTACAATACTGAATGATAACTGCTATCAAGAAGGAAAGGTAGAGGCAGGAGCAGCGACATATGCCTTCAATCTCAGACCTGTAGGAAGCTGAGGCAGCAGGATCACATGTTCAAGCTCAGCCCAGGCAAGTTAGTGACTTAGTGAAGCCCTCTCTCAAAATAAAAATTAAAAAGTGCTGAGGATGTAGCTCAGTGCAAAGCCCTGGGTTCAGTCCCCAGTACAACAACAACAAAAAAAAAAAAATTAAGAGGAGGAAAGGGGAGGGAGGGTAGGTAGTGTCGGGGAGGGGAAAAAAGTGAAGACCAGAGTGAAAAATACAAAAGGCTTCCCAGAAAAACTGACTCGTAAACTGAAGCTTAAAGGGTGGACGGAATTTGGCCAAACTAAGAAAGCTCTGAGTGCCCCTCCAAGATGGGAGCCAGGCTTTGAGGGACGGAAGGAACTTAGGGCTTGAGCTGTGAGGCAGGAAACAGAAGGGAGGCCCATGCTGTGGTTTGGATGTGATTTGTACCCTAAAGGTTCATGTGCCTGGTGTTATGGTTTGTGTCTAGATGTCCCACCAAACCTCATGCAGTCATAGAGTTTATGATTGATTCATGGTCCAATGCTGGGATTATGGGTATGAGTATTACACCCACCCTAGGGTGGGTAGCCTGCATACAGTATAAGGGAGGGAAAGAGGCTTGCTCTTTCCGCTGCTCCTCCCTTTTTGCTCTTGTTGCGTTTGCTGTTTTCTGCTGCCGTGAACTGTTGCCTTCTGCCATGTGCCACCCTGCCTTGGAGCCAGCAGAGTATGGACTGAAATCTCCACAGACTGTGAGCTAAATAAGCCTTCCCTTCCTTAATTCTGGGAATTAAGTATTTTGACTGAGCAACAAGAGAAAAGCAACCAAGACACCTGGTCTCCAGTGTGGCAGTGTTAAGGAGGTGGAATCTTTCTGAGGTGAGGCCTCGTGGAAGGCAATAAAATCATAAAACTCCACCCTGATGAATGGATTAATGCTGTCTTTCTAGAGCATATTGTTTTAAAGAGAAGCCCCCCATGCCTTGGTCTTTCCTGCACAAGGCCAGTTCCCTTTCTACTTCTCCACCATGTTGTGACACAACCAGGGGTCCTTTGCCAAGATACTGGCACCATGCTATTTGGACCTACCAGTCACCAGAAGTGTAGACCAACAACCCTATTTATTACAAAGTACCTAGTTTGGATATTTTGGTACGGTATCACAGAATGAACTAAAATGACTCAGACCTGGCAAGATCTTGCAGGCCAAATGGAAGGGTTTAGCTCAAGTCTTTAGATCCTACAAGCCACTGCAAGGTTTTAATCAGGAAAATAACATACCATGCCTATGTGGACAAATATGACTGTGACTATAACAGAGAAGGGGGAGATACCAGGCTGGCATGTAGCTTTTGCTCTTGCCGTGTTTTCCCCCTTTGAAACAGGGTCTCGTTATATAGTTCAGGCTGACTTTGAACTCACTATTTAGCCCAGGCTGCCCACTGGCCTTGAACTCATGGCAATCTTCCTACCCCAGCCTCCCAGTACTGGGATTACAGGCACGCACTACAATGCCTGTCTAAACTTACCTTTCCTAAGGGGTCAGCCTGGCCTGCAGTGTCCCTTCTGCTTGTATTTAGTTGGACAGGGTGATAGAGACCAAAGTTCTGGTCCAAGTCTTTCACTAACTGACCCCATGATCTTGGATTATTTGCTTAATTTCCCTACCTTCCTTTTCCTCATTGTTAAAACAGGAATAAGAATAGGGTGCTCCAACTGTAAATCTAATGGTAATAATGACATACTTGTGCAGTGTTTGCTATGTGCCAGGCACTATTCCAATTTCTTTACAAATACTATCCTATTAGCTATTTCTGGCATGGTGGTGTACACGTGTAAACCCAGCATTCGGGAGGCTGAGGCAATGGGATTGCTGCAAATTCAAGGCCAGCATGGGCTGGCTACAAAGAGAGTTAAAGGCCAACCTGAACTACAGAGCAACATCTTGTCTCAAAAAAAAAAATACATACATATATACATATATATATATCCTATTTAATCATTATAACAATGCAGTGAAAATGTATACTATTTTTATCTCCATTATATAGCTGAGAAAACTGCTGCACAGAGACATTAATTAACTTTCCTAAAGTCACATAAATGGCAAATTACAAAGCTAAGATTTGTAGCCAGGCCATCTGGCTCTTGTGGGTGTTCCTAACCACTATATTATATCGCACACATACCTTTTCATAAACTGCAAAGCACTCTACACAACACATGACTTTATTTCATTAGTAGCTTTCTTTACTTCTCATATTTGTTTCCAATGTGGTCTTTCTACCATTTCTGTTTTCTCATATCTCTATTGTCTGATTTTCTATTTAATGTCTTCTACATTAAAGCAGATCACAAAAATCCAGAAAAAAAAATCCTGACTGTCCATCATAGTTTCACCTTTTGCCAGTTGTTTACCTTTCAAACCTCAATTTTCTCGAAGGGAGAGTTGTAAAAATTGAATAAAAATGTAAATCCCTGGGTAAGCAGTAAGTACCAAGTTAATGAAGTTGTTTTACTCATCCTTTTTCTTGTGAAAAACTCAGGAGCTCAGGAGCAAAGATTGACATTCCAAACTTTAGGAACCAGAGAAGGAGGGACTGTCATCACAAAATGTGTGGAAATACAGAACCCAAATATATTGATGGTGTTGTGGTTTGGGGGATATTGCAAGGGGAAACAATACAGGACACATAGCTTATAAGATTACTTATAATAGTCACTCAAAGAATGAAATACAAAAGAGTGCAGGAAATCTGCCCACACACTAAGACCAATGAAATGAGCCGAGGGCCTGGATCCCACAGAAATGTCCTACATGAGTCCAGCCAAAGACCTAGAGCCCATGACAGTGTCTCATGCAATGTCTCATGCAGGTCCATGACAATGTCTCATGGACCTGCCCTGGGAAGGCCCAAAGGTCAGTGGTGGAATCTCGGAAGTCCGTGCCAGCAGGATGAAGGATCTGTGCTAGCAGGCTGAGGGATCTGCACTGAAGCCAAGAAGTGACGCTCAGAAGAACCAGAACTCCCCTGAAAGGTACCACAACCATCCTCAGCAACAGTGAGGTCCCAAGCTCCTCTGATGATCAGGAAAGCTAAATTCCCATCAGGAAAGCCCATGCAGCAAGCTTCTTCAGGAGATTGAGCTGTGCACCATCTTCCCCTCCAGAGCAAGGATGAGATGC